AAAGCGCCGTTGAATGAGCTCTCCAGAAGGCAGGCGAAAGCGAACAGTACAAGTCGGTTCCTTACACTCGTCAGAAGGCTCACTCGGCAGCCGCTGTTCGATCCATATGCGTTCAACCTATGCCGTGATATGTACGTTATAAAAACGGATGGCATTTTCTTCACAATCCAGTAGCAAACAAACAGAAAGTTTCATGATCCAGCGGTTACTAGTCACGGAAGTAAATAGAAACAGAACATAAAACACAACGATGATAAAACAGAATTAAATATAACCTAAATACAATTGAATTCTCAGTATAATTTTAAGGTTAAATAATACTTCAGGCATGCGATTCTGAACCCACAGTTATAAAGATAAGTGTATGAACGATTCATGGTTCAGGGCATCAAACACAGAACGTGGAAAAACAATTTACTGCCCACGCGTTTTGCTACACAGACCGTAGTTTTACGAATTTAATTCATGGTATGATTTGCTAATCCTCATTTATCTCAGCCGTTATCCTACAGTGGCTATGGATTTCCATCCATTCATGAAACTTCAGAAGTAGCTACCCACTGTATGCAGGGAGCTGCAGCTTTGGGACGCTTCTCAGCGGTCTTGGTCATCCTCCAATTGTCGAATCAATGCCGGATGGATTAAAGATCTGACAGTGACAAGAACTATGTACACAACAATCTATCATTAGGTCAGCATCTCTGTTATTTGTAATATATTGTTAAAAAGGAAAGTGTTTTGCTATCTCTCCTCCGGCATCCTGCTTGTCGATATAAATTAGAGACTGTTAAAATCCTGAAAGGAAGAAAAAGCAGTTCACAAACAAAGGTGATGTTTTTTGATGCCCTTAACGGATAGGTTCACTGCCAGCATGACGTAAACATGGTACATTTAAGGATGGATTTCTCTTAATCGACCTCTAATCTTAAGCCAGTCTCATTTGAGTGACCCAGGAACCGATTTTAATGCTCCCGTCAGCAACACCTTGTGAGATAAGTCTGCAGGTCCTCTCACTGTGTCAAAGTAGAATTATTAGAAAAGATCATTTATAAATAAGTAGCAAAATTTGCGAAAGCACTGCCAGTTTTATGTAATAATCACAGTCCACTTTAAAGAGAATTTCATTCTATATGGAAATTGCTATTTAGTTTAAATCTATCCGTTTAAACAGTTTTCACCTCTTTCCGTTCAGCTTCCTCTTCAATTTCCCGCTGTTTTGCTATGGAAGCTTCGCTTTCGATTCGCTTCAGTTCAGCCTTTGCTTGATCAGCTGCTAAAGACGCCTGATAGGCAGATTCTTGCTCGATGCGCACTTGCTCTCGAGCTTCACGCTCTTTCTAAACAAGCTTTTTTGAAATAAAAACACTGACAGAAATGGAGGTCGCTTTTGCAAGCTCTGTAGTTTTAACAATAAATTAAATCTGGAGGAAGACTGAAAATCTGATCAGCACCGACAGTTTTTTGAAGTCGGTCACGATAACATTCTCAAGTGTAACTGACACTTGGAGAAGCACGTTAATGAAGTGTGCCAACTAATCATTCATTATCTGACCATTAATTTCTACACGGATTAGCTATCGCCACAGCTATTTCACCAAAGTGCTCCGTAGTATACTTCAGCACTGCTACCAGGAAGGGATCAACAAGATTCGGTTACAAACATAACCCAAACAGCGAAAGTCGTGTACGTAAAGGCAGGCGAAAAGCATAGTTAAATATATTCACAGGCTCCATGACGACCAATGAAAGTTAAAATCGCTTATGGAGCCGACCGTTAGCGCAATCAGCACCTCAGCTGATGATCGGACCACACAAAAGTGCAAATGAAGAGGTTCAAAAAACAAGAGTACGATATGAAACAGCACTAGTTCAGATTCTGCGCTGGACAGAGCTACAACTATGACGTCCAATAATTCAATCTGAGCAAATGTCAAAAAAAAAACACCTACCTCTTCGTGTTCCTCATTATCGTTCTGCTGGTGAAAAATGTCTAATCCGTACAAAAGTTGCGTCATCACGTCATTGAGCAGACAAGAATGCTTGATAATTTGAATGACTGAGTAGAAGCCACGGTACTTGGCGATCGTTATCACGATCGGATACTCGTCATTGCTGATTGTACTGAACTCGCTGGACACCAATGAGCCGAAAACAGACCCAACTTGCTGCTCGATGCTACAACCGTATACGTTGACATCAACATGGATCATTGTAAAAAAAAACAAACGTGTAACCTCTCCCTATTTTCTCTGGTCGTCACGTCCCACGGCCACATAACAAAATTCTGATTGATAAAATCCACCATTGCAGGATCGCAAAGCACCTGAGTGCAAAATAAGTGTGCCGAAATGCTTTTATCACTGTGTACGTATATCAGCAACGGCTTTCGCTATAAACATAAACGCAAGATAAGAAAGGAAGCGAATAAACTTTCAAAAACGAAACACTAATACAGTTAGATCTGGGTAATTAGAAACTTTAGATACGATATGTTAGCATAACAAAAAAATTTTTCAAATTTAAGACCGAATAAATTCAAAAAAAGTAAATAAAAATCTTGATAACTCGGAATTCCAAAAAATTGCTTATAATCTCAGTACAGCTGGCAATGAATAGCCTAACAGTTTTAAACGTTTAGAATAATTAAAACAGGAGAAACAATTCCATTACACAGAACGGAATAAGAATACACATAACCAATTCATCAGTGTTTATCATATTGCACGATAAACGAAACTGTTCTATGCTTGTGTATGAATACTAGCCCAAAATTCTCGATCTTCGCACTTTGAATTATTATACAAAATGATGGACATTCACAGTCTTGGACATTTGTGTAAAGGAATATCATCGTAGTCCCTTCTTGAAGATAAACGAAATCAAACTGTCGTCATAGATTCTGAAAATCTAGCCTATATTTAGAATAGCAACAGCTACTGAAACTACATCACGTCATAATTTCTGAAGCCCAGATTAGGTTCATCCAAAGTCATGGAATAAAGAATGACAAATTAAAGGAAAGAAGGAAACCTTGTTACTGGCAGATCGTCAATACCCATAACATTGTCGTGATGAGCGCTATTTCCTGAACCCTTCCCTTAAGAAGTTTATAGTGCGGAGCCAATTTCTGTTTTGATGTCATAGGACAAAAGCGATTCGTGTTTTGCCCGGAAGATTTGGAGCTAAGTTGATAAGTAGTGTGGATTTCAAGACCTTTCCACGCAGTGATCTACTCATTTATGAATATACTGGAATGATGGAGGTTTAATGATGGCCGGAATCCGAATGTTAAACATACACTGTGATGATATGAGCATGCATTTCGCTTGAGCAATAACTCATGCCGATATAATGAACATGTATACTGTTCCACAACATTCTGATGCGAACTAGCATCAACGCACTGCAGAAGTTCATATACCATGGAGGTTGGGCCTGCATAAATGACCTAGAATTTCCTGAAAGCAAAAAGAGCCGTGATAATTAGTCGGATAACAAAGTGTAAAAGACTGCAAGAGTCATTCTCCAAGACACTGATGGCAAAAGGAAATGATGGCAACGATAGGTGCAAACGAAGTTGGTTGGTGCATATATCTATTTGGCTTGAAAGACTACTCCCCGTTTAGGCGGACGACAGGAAAATGTAAGGTGTTTGAGCCAACGCTGATGCTTATGCAGGTTCTCAGCCTGTTCAATTGCGACTCACGTGCTAACGTGGCTAAATATTACACGTCATGCCATTTACTTGTTAACAGACGGTGATACTGCGCTGCATGTTGTGAAATGTTATATTATGAAGCGATCTAATAACGTTTTGATGATCCCATTAACCACTGAACTATTGGCTTTATCTTTGCCAGTTAGCTAGCATGCCAAGATAGACGCTACCTGAACCAAGTCATATTTCAACAGTGAGTTAGCAGTGATTTACCCACGAAATCCTTATTAACACATGGTGCAAATTTACTTCTTTCACTTTGTGTTCCAATGCTTCTTTCAATGCGCTTTCTAACGTCCCGGAATAAAAGATTGGGTGATTCTTGCCATACCTAAGTACAGCGTTGAAAAACGAGTAAATCTATGAAAAGCAATACCACTAAATACAATACCTTGACTCAAATACACGAATGAAGTTGCACACCGCGTCCGGTACTGATATGAAATGAGAAGGAACTAAAAATTTAAATGACTTCAGATATTAAACAGTATCTAGTAGCAGTACTCAGAGGCACTGCCACGGCATTATCGGCCGAAGGAGATTCAGAAACATCGCCAATGTACGAATCATCAGTGAAATTCTGATAGCTGCTGTTATTCAAAACGTAGTCGTCGTCATCGTCTGAAGACGTGGTCTAGAAGATAACAAACAAACTGTAAATTATGAAAAGCAGCAAACGAAAAAGTCTTCTTACAATACAAAATGTCAGAAGTCGTACGTACATGTTCAGTTTCCTTGTAAAACCAATAAATTAAAACCCATAACCTGCGTAGAATTTTATTTTACATCGTGTGAACTATTTAAGAACCTGAAGAATGAAACGCCAAGAAAGTTCTGAAAGTTACTACACAGAAGCGGGAGAAGGTAAAACAGGCAATGACTGGCCAGAACTCCGCCGTCACAAATGATTTATCATCCTCTGTACAAATTGCATACGATACAGATACACAGTCCTCAGCAGTACATCGCATTGTATTCGTCATAGCTTCACCATCCAAGTGACAAAGGGATTATATATTCTTTTCAT